CCCCCCCCCCCCCCCCCGCCCCCCGTGCGCGACGTCGCTTTCAAGCGCGAAGCTGCGCAATTTGCGTGTAAATATTTCTGCCGGTTTTTACACCGGGGCCGCGCGTATACACTTTACACTACGCCCGTATAACTCCATAAAACGCGGGAGAACAAGCGGGCACTGACAATACTGACATATTCCGCGCGCGCGCGCGCACGCACGAGACGACGGAATGCATAATTTATCGAATACGATAGCGATGTTTTTACGCTCGGTCGATAGTCGCGCTCGATTAGTCGCGGCTTAGGTCACGGAAAAAGTTGGCATAATCGCGGAGATAAGCGCCGTTCGAAACACGGACGCGTGGAATCCGCTTACGCAGACAACGCGCGGTTATATCATTGTCGTATCTCCCATTTCTCCCCGCCTGTAATTATCGATTATTATTAGTACATTTATTAGTACATCCGTTCATTTTTTTTAAACAATACTTACGTGGATTTAATATCATGTTTATATAATTCTTATCACTTTGATGTTAACATTAACATGACGTCGATTAAAGTTCATGTTTATATCAGTACTGACACGATGATAATTATATAAATACGCACGGTGTTAAATTCGCACCTACATATTATTTCTTTAGAGCGTTCATTTACTCGTATATCGAAGTGTCTCATTTCTGAAGTCGAAATTCTACCACACCTTGTGACTTTTGCGAAGTTTCGAATTTTTTTTTACCGTACGAAAATTTTCGAGTAACAGAATATTCGCGAAAAAAAAAAAATATGCATACATAATCAGTATCGTAAAAATATAGTGAGTATATTCAGACAGTCTCCTCAAATGTGAGTTTCCAGCACCGGATGTTCGTTCGCGGAACGATTCGCGTGTCGGTGCAGAAAGCGTGCTGGGCATTAGCCGCCCTGTAATCGCAGTAAAGCGATATTTAAGGGTTCGCTTTTGATGTTATTTTTTACGTTTATCGCATCATAACGCCCCGCGAGGAAGGCAGGGCGGAGAATTGCCGAGCCGCCATCGAGCCACCGATAAGGTTGAAAAGGCATATCAACGGCGGGCGTCCCTGTCGTTCTGTCGACGCTTTATTTGTTTGGTCTAGGTCACGTTCTTCGCCCACCAGACGCAAAAGCAAATGTTTACGCGCGCTTCGGGGGTGGGATACGTAATGCGGATACGCGTTAAACTGATACGCGACGGCGGCGTACGAAACGATACGGCGACGGCGGTGGTGTACGAACTATACGACGTCGTAAACGGATCCCGGTGGTGCAGAGAGTGGTGAACGGCGTCTGTGCCAACGTTGCACGTGCGCCAGACGCACGTGCGTGTCCTACGCGGATGTGGAGAAGCGAAGCGAAAAAGAAGAGTGTCCAACGAAATTCGCGACGCGGCTGCATTTTATTGCAACGTTTAATCGTTAACTCGAACGAAATGGAACTTATTATTCGACCTTTATACGCGCAGTAAGAAATTATATCTTATCATTAAATCAGGAAATCGAATGTTTAAAACGCGCTCTTATAATCAATTTCATTATCCCTGACATTTGAAAAAAGAAAAAAGAAATAATTTTAATTAATTAACAAAAATCTAATAGATATTTTTCGATTTTTGTTTTTTTTCCTTAACACCTTTTAATAAGATTATTGATTCTTTCTTTCAACATTGTTTGATAGTGCACTGGCTTCGCGCGCGAGTCACAAAGTCGCTAGCAATTACCAGGGACTAAAGCGGAAAGTCGCACAGACATTTACACGAAAATAGATTATTGGAAAACCGTTCAAGAGCGCTTAAGAATTTCGGCGGCGCCGCATGGTGCACGATGAGTAAAACGAAGATGGCGAGGTGGCACGATAACGGCTGTGAGAAAATTCCACAACCTTAGTGTGTACTAATAGTTCAGGCGAAGGATAACGTGAAGATGCTTTAAGATCAACCATGCCTCAAGATTCGAGAATAACTTATGTGAAATAAAAGTAAAATCGTATAGCTATTGCCTATATAAAGTATTTTTCTCTAGGATAAAAAAAGCAAGGGTACAAATTTATATTGATATACATAGGATACGTAGATATGCTCCTAAAAGAGATGATTTTCTT